CCCCCCCCCCCACGGCCACACACTCAGGGCCTGCTCCACAGGAAGGCATGATTAGCATTATTGGCTCTTTAAAAAAATCCGTTTTATTTCTCCAATTTAAAATTTGAAATATCGGAACTAAAAATTTAGCAAATGAGGGCCCGTCTGGTGCTTTGCGTTAGCACCTCAAGGGACTCACCTATATTGCTAATCCAGCTGATTGACAACAGTCTAATCCCCAGCCCCAATCCCTTACTCCGCTTACCAGCCCAGAGGTGCTTTTGACGAATAACAGTAAAACCAACGAACTGTCTTAGACAAAGGGGCCCGTTCATTTCATATAATGAAAAAGTTGGAGACAGGTGGTTGGTGTTTAGTGGCTCCTCTGTCTTTGTGATGCTCTTGGCTTTTCCCTCGAGGCTGCAAAACGGCTGCTGCAGCTCCAGGCATCACACCAGAGTTAAAGGCAAAGAGAACGGAGGAAGGAAGAGGGCCTGTGGTTTCGCCTTTTATCAGGAAAACGCACACTTTCCTGCTTCTGGCAGGTTTTGCTTGGGTCTGACGGGCTGTGACTCGGACACCTCAGCTGCCAGCGGGCAGGGGAAGCAACCGGAAGCAGCACAGGGGAAGGGGGCTGGAAGTAACTGGTTGACCCCCCAAATCTGCCGCACCCTCTTTCCACCCCACCTCCCACACCCACTGCCCCTCATCTCCGCCTTCTGAATGGCTGAACGGCGAGCAGTTGCCTCTATTGGACTAAATCTCTCTCAAGTCCCTTCTTACATCACCCGGGTCCCTGGAACCCTGGCCACCTCCAAGTCCTCAGGCCCAATGTCCTCCCGCTTCTCTTGAACTTGCTTGTTTATGTCTCCGCCGGGGATGCCGCCCGCCCACGCCCTTCTCAGCATCGCGTCACGGGCGGGGGGCTTCTGTTCAGTCTTTAAGTCTGGGCTTAAATGTCGCCTCCTCGGAGTGGCCTTCCTGAACCACCCGCTCTTGTTCCATATTTGTTCCCGGTTTACCGCCTCTTTCCCCAGGAGACCTAAGGAGGCAAAACTTCCCGTCCTGGCCGTGTCCCCGTGCAAAGCGCGGCGCCAGGCCCTCAATAAATATTCATGGGAAGAATGAACACGGGGCAGTGTCGACGGTCTGGGGACTGCGGGCAGGTACTGGCAGGCGGGCCGGCTCCAACGAGCCCGGGCTTCAGATGGCCCAGGCAGGGCCCTGTTAGGAGGAAACCGCATGTGCGCGCCGCACAGAGTTCAGAATAGAACCACAAGAAAAAAGCAGAGGAATTTTGATAAAAATAAAGACACGTCCCTGTTTCCCGGCAGCCTTTTTGCCCCATTCCCGTCTCAGGGACCTCGGGGCTGGAGCCGGCAGCAGCCCACAGACGGGGGAGCGGCTCTTCAGCCCCTTACGCAGCTGTCCCCTCGTGGCCCGAGCTGCTGGCTGGGCCCCGGCGCCCCCGGGAGCAGGGCCCCGGTGCACACGGCGCCCCGCGCGCCTCCGCGGGGAAAGGGCTCCGCTCCCGCCCGGCCTGGCTGGCGGGGGTCTCGGTGCACTCTCCCGGGAAGCGGCCACTCGCTGTCCTTTCTTCGCCCGGCGGCCTCCCACCTTGATGCCCTCCTTCTAAGGTCATCTTCATGCAAAAGCCACGTCTACTAACCGTTAGACCTCCAAGGCCAGGCGTGTCTGTCATCTGCCACCCGGGTGCCTGGCGCCCAGCGAGTGCCTATTACATGCTTGCTGCCTTCCCGCCTGAACCCCTCCTTCTGATCTTTCGGAAGACACTGCACCTCCCACGTGAAGTTTGTTGAACCCACTCTTGTCTCACTAGCTCTGCACCTCGGAAGGTCTCTTTAGCGCAGGGCCTGTGGCTCTGTCCTCGCGCAGGCCCCGGGCCACCGCGGAGCCGAGCTCTGCAAACGTCTGTGCCCGAGTCTAGGTCCTTCCGAGGAGTCAGGGCAGGGACTCAGGCCAAAGCCGGCTGTTGCTCCGTGCGAAAGGTGGTTAGAAGGAAGCATAAGGACGCCTGTCTCCGCCCCCGGGGGCCTGTGGAATATTCTGGATTTGAAGAACACCAGTTACACGTGAAGGGAGACACAAGAGAACAAAGTGGGAGGAGAGAGAAGCAGGAATCAGTCTTCGGAGGCGTCATCCAAATAATTTCTGGGGTCTTCTGGGCAGAGCCCCAGACCACTGTCTGTCTCCTTCCTTCCTGGACAACCTCAGCAGCGGAATCCCCTTCCCCCATCAGCCAGTTTGCTTCTCTGGGACCTCCCTCTACCCAGGTTCTGCTCAGGCCCCAACTTTTGAGGGCGTCCAGGGATTGTGGGCTCAAGCATTCAGCGTCCACTGCCGACCTCTGCCTGTCCGGGCGACCCCAGGTGACGTCCACAGGAGGTGGGTGTTGCGAGACAGCAAACATTGGGGACCTTGAGCATCTGCCTGGAGGATGGGAGGGCGGCCATCTGGGCCTCGACGGGAGGAGGCCCGGGCTCCTCTCTCCAGCGCTGCCGTTATCAGAACCAGAGGGAACCTGCAGAGAGAGGAGCTGGAGAGACAGCCCCCCCACCCTTGGTTTCCAGGCGACACGCAGGCTGTCTCGGTCGCTGTCATACAAACCCTCTTCCCGTAAGACGGCAGGTCCCACGGGGAGACGGGGTGAAGCGGAATATTTTATCAGCCGTGTACACATGTAACCAGGGCTGGGCTGAAAGCGGAACCTCGTCTCCCTGAATAGGGGACGGGGGCGGGGTGGGGAGGGCTGGCGGGGGTCAACAGCGGGAACGCGGCCGAGACCGCGGTTTCCACCCTCTGCGTTGTCACCAAGGAAGACGTCCCCACAGAGGGCTGTTGTGGGAACAAAGCTGAAAAGGCACCTTGGTTTTGTATTTAGAAAAAAGAATCCGATACACACATCAAAGGTGAGGGGGAAAGTCAAAGCCACGCAGGCACAGGGGCCGGGTTCCTCGCTCCCGGCCACCTCCACTCCTGGTTTGGAGCCAGGACGCGCTCCCCGCGGCTTCTGATGGGTGCAAGTTCCAAGTTTACTCTGCAGCACGAGGTCAGTGTGGGGCTTGGACGGAGAAAGTGGGCTCTCCCCTCGGGGTCTGGAGGCAGGAGGTTGTCCGGGCACTCGGGGTGGAAGGTACAGCCTCTCACTCTGCTCCACGAAAGGCAGCCACCACTCCCCTCCCAGGTGAGCACCGTTATCCAACGACCTGAAGAACAGGTGAAAATGATGGTCAGGTGGCGAAACGCTCGCTTTGCCCGTTAGTGGGGCAGTAACCAACCTCACAGCAGCGCCCAGCCCGGGTGCCCGAGGAAAGCCCGGGCGTGCTGTGCACAGGCCGGCTTATGGGTCCTGCCCAGCCTGTTGTGCTAGTGGGGGGAGTCGAGGGGGAGCAGCCAGGCCCACGTGCTGTGGGGGAGGCAGGAGTGAGAGATTTTTCTGGTGATTGTCTGTACCCACAGTTCTGGACAGAACACGGAATGGCTCAGAGGCAAAGACCCAACACCCTCCAGTGGCCCCACCCAGATACTCAGGGCGGGACTCCTGCCACTGCTCATTCAGAAGTTTGAGATGATTCAAGTTGAGCAAAGAGGGACGGAGGGAGAAAGGGGAAAAGGGAGGGAGAGATGGGAAACGCGAGAACCCATCTGGGCAATGCATCACATTGAAATTGCCCCGCATTAAAAATTCACCAGCCAGTGAATTTTCAAGGGATTTGTAGTAATTAGATGACAAAATGCTGGCAAGTCTCAGGCTTGCCAAAGATGTTACTCAGGGGTCAAAGACTCGACACTTTCGGCTGGGTAATTTGTAAGTGTCAATCACTCGCAGCCATCAGAGAGAAGGGAGCGATCTAACGGCTGAATTCTAACTAAGTCCAGGCGCAGACCTCGCTCTGCCGTCTGCCAGCAAACCCCAAGACCCCGGCCCTCTGCTCGGGCACAGACAGTGCCGGGCCCGCCTGGGGCTCCGAGCCTCGCAGGCCAACCCGTTTCCCAATTCTTGACGTTATTCTTTCAGGAAGGCAGTAGCTGGGCAAGAGCTGACGACCCTCCTTGGTGGAGGGGTTTCCTGCGGCCCATTACCACTGAAGGGCGGAATGGGGCGTTTGTGTAGGCAACTGATTTCACAGCCTCCATACCCAGCCCCGGGCCTCAGTCTTCTCATCTGTGAAGTGGGGATAAGATTCACCTTGCACGGTTGCTCTGACTGTGGGAAGCCGGACCTGCTACGATTCCCCTGCTCAGTATCTATATGCCTTTGCCTCAGAAGCTCACCTGCCCTCATGGGATATTCTAGTTGGGGGAGAGAGGAGGAAGGAACAATAAATAGAGAGCATGTTAGGTGACTTTGTACACGGAAGGGAGGCCTCCTGGATGGGCCATATCTGAGCAGAGGCCTGGAGAGAACAGGGGCAGTGGGTACTCGACAGAACAGACCTGCGAGGCACTGTTCTGAGAACTACCATGAAGCTGGAGACTGGGGGACAAAGGCGGGCGGGGGCATGGTGGGTCTTGGCCCCCTGAAGCCTTCCATGACTTGAGGCCCCGTGAAGCTGGACTCCGCACAGCCCCATCTGGACAGGCCCTGGTCCGAGCTGCCCCCAGAGCCCTCACAGAGAGAGAAAGCACCTGGAGAGGCCCATCTGTGGTGCCGCCCCGCCCGTGGGCCTGGCTGACCCTGCAAGAGGGTCTCATTCCAGCTGCTCGTGCTGATTGAGAGCGAGCTGCAGAGGGACCAGTGAGCCCGGAGGAAAAGTGATGCTGCCAGGACTGTGCTGCCTGGTGCCGGGTGGAAGGCGGTTTCTAAGATGAGGGGCACAGAGGTGCCTTTCTTCCCCTCACTGCTCCCACCATGGGGGTATTTTCTGTAAAGGGCATTGGCTTTGAAGTCAGACAGACCCTGGGCTCTGAAGCCTGACTCTGCTGTTTCTGAGCTGGGCAAGACACTGCATGGCTCTGAGCCTCAGTTGCTGCACCTAGAAAATGGGCACAGGAGACCCAAACACATGGCAATGGACAGGTCTTATTAATAAGCTCTTCGTACAGTTTGCTGCAAAGCGGAATCTATGTGCTGGAGATACTCATATAGTTGGCAAATACTGCAGCGGGGCCAGGGCTGGCATCTGTAAATCACTCCCCGCTGGAGCTCTTCCTGGTTATTTCACGAGTGGTGGTGGTGGGGAGCGCCCGGTGGTGGGTGTATTTATTCCCTCCCCTGCTCCCTTCCGGGGCCTGGGTGTCCCCAGCCAGCCTCTGCTGCCGCAGGTTTAACAGGGCTGTGAAACCACTCAAGGGGAAAATGAAACTACCCCGTGTCTCCTGGGAGGCAGTGGGCTGGGCCTCCCGAGCTGCGAAGGCCAACCCTCCCCACGGGCAGGCGGAGGACTGGGAGCCTCGGATGGGAGGCAGGCGCCCGCAGCACCCACTTGAGATGCAAATAAAAATTAGTGGCAGCTGCAAGTTGGCTGTCTATCCCCCGAAGCCCCTCCTGAGGGCTGCCAGTCTCTGCAGTTCAGGCTGGAATGTGGGGCTGACCGGCATCTGCTTAAGAATCGATGGGAACGTGGAGAGTAACACAGAGAACACACGATCACCACGGTGGCTGCCGTTTACTGGGCACTTACTACGTGCCAGGCGCTGGGCAAAGGGCCTGGCCAGCTTCCCCTTAGTGTGTACTCGCGGGGACGGTGACCTTAATAGCAGCGCGGAGGTGAGAAGCGCAGGCTGCAGGCTGCCTGGCTCTCACTCTGGTTTGACCCTGGAGCTGTGTGACTGGGAAAAGCACCGAACCTCTCTGGGTTTCTGCTTTCTCAGAATGGCAAGAATGGCACCCATCTCATGAGATGGGGAAGGGTTAAGGAGTTAACCCGTGGTGAGGGCAGTGGTGACGGTGGTCACTATCAGGATGGTGGATAAACCAAGACTGAAATGCGGGAGGCCAAGGGAAGTGACCCTCGCCCAGTGCCCACCCCCAGGCCTGCTCAGGGATCCTCTTACGTGGGCGTTCCTGTCGCCGCCATTTTAAGGGAGAGGAGACCGAGGCACAGACAGGCCAGGCAGCTTGGTCCCAAGGTCACAGAGCTTGTGAGCAGCAGAGCTGACGGCAGCCCAGCAGCCTGGCTCGTTCCCGCCCAGCTGTCCCTAATTCAGATACCTGACTCCAGGGAGGGTAGGAGCTCGGCACCTAAGGGAAGTGCTCAGAATGGGGGGCCTGGGCCCCACCCCTGACCCTCAGGACCAGGACTTCCTGCTTGGTGTTAGGGTCTGCCCCAGGTAACCCATCTTTCCTGGGTTCTCTGCCTGAACCCCACAACTGTGGTCAGGAGAGCCCGAGAGAGGCTCTCAGCCGGGCGGAGAAACCTGCAGGGGTCCCGCGGCCCAGAGCCTGCTCCCAGCCCCCACGCTGTCCGGAGGCCCCGCAGGACCACCCTGCTGCCTGCAGCTCGGCTGTGGGGCTTCCAATTCTAGTCACGTCGTGCCCGCACCTGCCCGCTGCCGCACGCCACTGCCACTCTCAGTCCCTGGACCCAGTTTGGGGTGAAAGCCTTGCTTATTAGTCAATCTGGATCCCACTTACTGTGAATTACCAGGCCTGATTGATATTCATGAGTGGATACATCTGAAACCTCACTCTGCCGCCACGTGACTCCCAGCCTCGGGGAGGAGGCTGCCGTGCGGACATGGGGCCCTGCGCAGCCCAACCTGCAGTGGCGGCCCCCAGGCGGGGACACAAAGCTCGCAGGGGGCGGCCCCTGGCTGACAGCATCCATCCCGGGGAAGACGGGGCTTGAACAGACTCAGTCTTGGGAACGGACATGAATGGTTCCGGCTGTTGAAGAATCCTGAGCACCTTTTAAATGGGGCGGGGGAGGGCCGAGCACAGAACCTTCCAGCAGGAGGGAATTAACCTGAAGGTCCACTCACACCTGGGGACTGGATGAGCAGCACCTGGGGTCACCTGCTTGGCTAGAATTTTCCTGGTCTTGGCAATGAAGTCTCTCAATGCCTCTTTCTTTAGAGATGATCTGGGCTCCAGCGAACACCTAGTAGGTGCCTCCCACGTGTGTGGGCCACGCACGGCATCCACAGCCCGATTCCTCACCCTGTCCCCCCACAGTCAGGCCTGCTGTGGGCCCCTCCCTTGCTGAATTTGGGCTCTGCCATGTGACTTGCTTTGGCCAATAGGTCAGGTAGCAAACACGTCTTCCTGAGAAAGCAACAAGACCACGCGCTTCTTTGGGGTTTTCACAGACAACTACTGCTTGTGTCCAAGATAGCGGGCCTTAAACTTTTCCTGGGCTAAGAATCCATGGAAGCACGAGGCGCCCCTTTTCTCCAGAAACAAAACAAGAATCCATGGAAACATCACGTGTGGACCTTTGGATGATGCTCGCATGGGGTTAGGTTCTACTTCAGTGACGTGAAAGAAGTCAATGTCCTCATTTAAACCACTGATATTTGGGTGTCACAGCAGTGGGAACAGGCTCTAACCAAAACAGTGTCTCCACAAGACCAACACGGCAGCTGGCTGCTGGCTTTGGAGCGGCTGCGACTCTTCGGCTGAGCCCCAGGTGGAGGAGCTGGCCTGCACTCTGGGGCCCAAGGACAGGGTGCTGCAGACCCAGTAGGTCATTTCCTTGAAAGCTGCAATTAAGGGGAAGTGGGGTTTATTGAGGGAGCTGGAGGGGACGTAGCCTTGGCTTCTGGTGATGCTCTAATTGGATTGCAGGGCCCTTTAATTCTGTGCTGAGCCACAAGGTCCTGAGCTCAGAGCTGGTGCTAGAGCACTGTGGCCTCATGGGAGGCAGGTGGAGAGCCTCCGTGGGAGTGGGGGACACTCCTTGACACTGGGGGGATGGGGTAACAACAGCAAACACTGGACCCAGTACTGCTGGTACTCAGTTCACAGGTGAGGACACTGAGGCTCTCAGAGGTCAAGAAACTGGCTCAAAGTCACGCAGCTGGAAAGTGGCAGGTCCAGGATGCAAGCCCGGCAGCCTGGGTAAAGAGCACAGAACGGAGAGTTCTGCCAAACCGTGGCCTTGTTGAAGCCGCTCGCCCTCTCTGGCCTGACTTCTGAGCTGTAAAATCCGAGGGGCTTGCTTCAGATCCCGCGGCAAACTTGATGTGAAGGGCCAGCCGGTCAATATTTCAGGCTCTGCAGGCCATACGGGTCTCTGCTGCTGCTGAAGGCAGGCAGCCTGAACAGGATGTGAGCCAATGGATGTGGCCGTGCTAATAAAACTTTATTTACGCACACAGGCTGTAGCTCGATCTGGCTTCCGGACTGAAGTCTGCCAACCCCTGGTTTAGACCATTCATGGCCCTTCTTTACCACTTCTCATATTTCCGTTCTTAATAATTTTCTTTATGCCAATTCACTTGGCGATGTGAACTTGGCGAAATCACATCTTTGATGAGTTAGCTGTGTATTTGTATTTGTAACATACACGTGAAAATAAATTCATAAATTAAAAATTTTTAAAAGGTTTGTCTGTGGGTTGTATAAAATCCTTGTGTAGCCAGAAGCTGCCGTCCACACTGTGTGAGGCCTGTGTGGACCAGTGGTTTTCAAAGCTCTCGGGTGCTGGGGGGGAGGGTGAATATGTGATGGCCGGGCCTTCCCCCAACTTTGAACAGAGCAGCTCTGCTTTATCTGTGGTCTGTGCTGGGTTCTGCATGAGACTTTTGTTGGAAAAGGGGGTCCTGTGGCCAAAAGAGTTTGGAACCAGCTGGAAGTGGCTTCAAAGTGAACTGGAAACTTGTGAGCTTCAAGCTGGGATTTCCTGGCTCCACTTACACATGACCAAGTGCCCCACAATGCTTCTTAGATTTCTTAGACACCGATGATTCCCCTCTGCGCCTGTGGTGCAACCCCTCAGGGAGCCTCCCATCGGCCCCTCTGCACACCCGTATAGAAACAGCCTCAGCAACACTAGCGGAGATAACGCCTGCAGGCTGCCCATCTCCAAAGCACCCGGGGCCGGGCCTGGTGCACAGCAGGCTCAGTGAACATGTCGGACGAACGCACCAAGATATTTCATGTTCTCCTGGGGCTCCATGGCTCTGGGAGTCCCCAGGTCTCAGGGCCACCCCACCACCCTCTCTCCTCCCTGGAGCCCTAGGATGCCAGGGTGACACCATACTGAGCCGAACCCTCACCCAGGGATGGACGGCATTTGACGATATTAAATAACCGCCTCACAGGGCCAGGCTCTCCTGCATTGAGAGCTGCCCTGGAGACAGGAGAACTGGAGGATGGGAACTTGGGTTTCCCGCTATCCTGGAGCTGGTGCCAGCCCTTTGTGTGGAGTCGTCTAGGGAATGCCACCTGCCTCTCAGAACCTCCACGTCTATATTCCCATGGCTGCTGGGAGGATGAGGTCGGGGAGCTCACTCCATCAACACTGCCAAGCACCTCCTTCCCGCCAGGCAGGAGGACACTGCATGAACCTCTCCTCTCCTGGGGTCTACAATCCGGGAGGACAGACGTGAAGCCACAATACAAACACGCATGGCTGGGACAGGTGCCAAGGTGCCCAGGAGGGGCTCAGGTGCTCTGAGGGCATCTGACAGGGCCTGGGCTTATCTGTACAGGGCTTGCAAGTCATCTATGGGGAGGTGTCTATTTCAAAGGCTGGGGCAATAGGGAAGGACAATTATAAAGCAAGTATTCCCTTCATCTTTCAGTGCTAATACTGCCGGAAAAAGAAAGGCTACATATTATTAGTGAAACTCAGCCAAAGAGAAGCAGGTGGAGAGAACCCTGGAGGCGTTTCCATGGCATGGGAGCATGTGTCCCAGTTCTGCGAGGCGCACCAAAGGGTTAAAGTCATTTTCATTAAAATTTAAATTTCAGCAGGCACTCCCTGTCCTTTGAACGTTTGACTGGCAACCATTTCATATTTCAATCTCGGCAGAACAAATTGAATTAGATGTTGAAACCAAGCTCGGCTCTGTTCACCAAAGCCCGCGTGCTCAGCTCGCACTAATCCTCCCCGAAACGCCGAGGAGCCCAGGCGGGCGCTGCGAGGGCTGGGCTGGCCTGGCCAGAGATGCAAACGGCCGGCGGCACAAGGAAAGGAGGGAAAACGCGCGGGCGGAGGCCGCTGGAAAGGTCTTTGGCCTATGTGTGGACCCAGGTTCAGAAGATAGACCCGCACATGGCTCAGCGTTTCTAACCTTGTATCCCGGGCGTCCCACAGAGTATCTTGCACACAGGGGCACCTACTAAGTGTCTGATGAAAGGATAGACGGATGGATCGATGGATGAGTGGGCTCAGCCAGCCTCTGTCTCCAGCCTGCGCCCTTTCCATCCTGTCTTCTATGGGAAACTGGAAAGATGCTTTGCTTCACAGGGCAGCCGGGGCCATGGAACACGGCTTGGGTCCCAGGCCACCCTGAAAACTGGATGAAAACTAAACCTCCCAAAATGCATAGACCAGGATTTACACAGAGACAGAAGGTTCTTAGACTCTCACTTTGAGCTCCACCCACAGGCCCCGAATTAAGAAGGAAACAAGAGTGCTGATGAGCGTTGGTTGACTGATTCAGTCCCAGCACCATTTCTGAGGATAGTATAATATCAGCCCCATTTTATAGAAAAAGATGCTGAGGGTCAAAAGGGACCTCGGTGGTCTGAGGTCACATAGCTGGGGATGGCTAGGCCGAGATGCAGACCCAGGTCACACGAGCTGTAGCTCTTTCTTCTGCACTGTCCTGCCCCCTGGCATGTGCTGGGAACAGGCCATACCCATGGGGGAGGCTGCATCTCTGGACTGGAGTAGGTGTGTGCACACGGGCACCCCAAGCCTGGGATAAGCCCTGGGACAAGCCCTGGGACACTGCTTGCCAGGGCTGGGGACTTGGATGTGTTTCCCAGGGCCTCCAGCCCGTGAGCAGGAAGCGCCTGCTATAGGGACACAGCTGGGCTCAACCAAGGAGACTGGTGTCGGGCTTGGAGCTCCGAGCTGGGGGTTTCCCACTGAGGAGCTCAGAGGCTTCCCCAGCCCCGAGGTCAGCAGGACTGGAGGACACCCTGGGGACTAAACCAGGGCCGGCAGACCCAGGTGATGATGGGGCAGGACAGAGGCCAGGCCCCAGGCTGTGAGCAGCCCCTTGGACAGACAGACCAGGCGTAGGCAGGATCCCAGCTCAGCAGCCCTGGAGGGGAGAGCAAGAATGGAAGCTTCTGGAGCCACCTCACATGCTCAGCGCTGTGCCTGGTGCTTTTCGTGGATTATTTCAGCACATCCTTTCTCACTGAAGCCCTGGAAAGTGGGAACCAGTTAGTGAAAAGGAGGCTGGGCCCAGGGAGGTGAGGCAGGTGGGCGGGGGTTCCCAGGTCTGAGGAGCTGCTCTCAGCCCCTGGGGCAGTGGGGTGCCAGGGTCCTTGCTCCCATGTGCTGGATCCCTCTGTACCCTGACCTTCCTGCCAGCAGGATAGGACCCTGTGGCATCGCAGGGCCATGGGGAGGAGGAATGAGTTGGAGAACTCATGTGAGAGCCAGGCTGGGAGGGAGGCCCGGTTTGTTTTTGCTGCTTCCAGATCCCTTGCCCCCACAAAGGACTTCCTAAGGTGGCCGGGCCTGCCCCCTGTGTAGGCACAGAGCAGGCCTCTGCAGTTCAGGATCCCAGCCCGTCCCCGCTGACCTTGGACCAGCGGAGGGTTCGCTGCCTGCTGCTCCCACCCCACTGAGCGCACTATACCCCAGCCCACGTGGTAGGGCGCGCAGGAGCCGGAGCGGCTGTCCCTGGTCCTCAGGGCCCCGGAGTCACATACCCTCTCGGTGCCAGCTCACAGCTGAAGGGTTTGCTCCTCGCTGTCGTTTTCACTGTCTTCCAGCTGCTCCAGGATCTCGTCCAACACCACAGACCGCTTTTTCTTCGGGGGCTCTGTGGGAGCCCAGATGGCAAGAGAGGAGAAAAGAACAGCCGAGAGGGTTGGAGGCAGGGAGAGAGAGATGGCAGAGAGGGAGGGAGGGAGCGGGAGAGGGGTGAGCAAAAGGGAGGCGGGGGACGAGAGAAGAGAAACACAAGGGAGGATGGGATGCGGGGAGAGAGGCAGAAGAAATGAGATGAGAAATGGGGAGAAGGAGCATTGAAGGGGGAGGTAGGAGAGTACAGGCAGCCAGGGAGACGCGGGAGAAACCGTGAGAGAGGAGAGAGAGACTGCAGGTTAGTCACCAGCTTCACCGTGGGAAGCTGCCTCTTTCAGGCCCAGAAACTCTCCGGCTCTGGGGGCCACCCACTCCCCAACTCCACCCACAGGGGAAAGGATCCCATTTTGAAGGGGAGGGAGGAAGATCCCCTTCCAGCAGCTCAGAGGTTAATGCATCTCTGCCTGGTGTGGGGGCCTTGAAACCCTTCAGAGAGGCTGTGTCGAGCCAGGGCAATGGTTGAGGAAACAGTGGTAACTGTTGTTTTCCTGGAGGTCATAGGCTCTTAACTGTACAGTATATAAGTATGTGGCTAGCATACAGTAGATGCTCAATAAATAAATGTTGGGTGAATAGATGCTCAAGGATTCCAGAGGCGGCATGGAGGGAAAAACAATCAGAGGTAGCTTTAGAGATGGGTGATTTGACTGGGGCTTTGAAGAACGCAGAGGAGTTCTGTGAGGCAAGGGGAAAGACGATGTAAATGCACAGTGTGAACATATGACAGGGCATGATAGGCTCAGCAAAATACATGTCCTCTGGCCCCAAATGCTACTGACTGACAACCTACTATGTGCTATGACTCAACTCTTTTCAACAAACCCGCAGGCAAGTATTATTACTGCCTCTTACAGGTGAGGGAACTGAGCCACAGACAGGAAGCCAGAATTTGAATCCAAGCCACACCAAAGCCCAGTCTTTCCACTTTTTATGAAAGTCTCCGTTTCTGGCCAGAGAATGCCAGGGAGTCGAAGGGTGGCAGAAGAAGGCACGGGGGTCCCCTTGGCCCTCCAGAAAGGAAACAAACAGAGTGGGGGGAGCTGGGCTTGAACTGGCCACGTCCCCTTCTCAGAGAGGACTCCCCTGACCATTCCTGTCTGAAACAGGACCCCCTACCCTCAATCCCCCTCTGTACTTTCCCTCGCAGCAGGCCTTTCTGTGTATGGGACGCTGTGCTGTCCCATCCACTCTATGTCCCCTGCCATAGCACACTGCCTGGCGCCTTGTGAGGGCTCGTTAATATTTGCCGAATGAAGGGATGAGTGAATCAAGTGGGATGGGGGGACATGGCGAGCTGCTCCCTCGGCGAGGGTGAGGAAGGTGTGGGAGGCTGCCCCCCACCAGTCTGCCTGGGGAGCCTCAAGGCCTGGCAGCTGCATCTATCATTGTTAATCATGAAAAGGGAGAGGGGACAGAATGGACTGGGGGCAGGGTCAGCAGCCCACGGCTCAGACACCCGCTTTCTCTCCTGCTCCCTCCGTGATGCTCTTGGTTTCTTTCCTATAATCGCCAGGAGCTGGAGGTGCACAATGGCCTCTGGAAATTGAATTTGTGGGCAGGTAATAGGAGCTGGGAAATAGAAGGGCAGCAAAATAGGGCCTGCGGGCCTGTCACTGACACCCCCTCCCAGCTGCTAACAATGGGAGTGGCAGTGGGGGCGGCTGGGTCCGTCTTATCGGCGGCTGTGTCCCAGGGCCCTGCACACAGTAGGTGCTCTGTAATCATTTGTTGGACGAATGAAAAATAAATGGCTACAAGGTGAGTCATTTTCTAAAATTAAAACTGCTGATGTTGGGATAACCATAAACAAATGAGTGGCCGAGCTGAGAGGCACCTGAGTTGCCACCTGGCTAGGGAAACTAAGGCCCAGAGGGAGAGGTTGCAGCTCGAAAGGAAACATACACAGGCCAGGCTCTTTACAAGCACCCTCTTCAGAGGTGGGTGTCATCACCCCATTTCCCAGGTGGGAAGACGTAGGGTCCACCAATGACGCTGAGACCACAGTCTGTTACTATTACCGCTGTGAGAGGTGCTAACGTAACAGGTCTCTCTCTACCGTTAGGCCAATGAGTGCCAACAGGTGGGGACTGTCACAGGCAGGCTAGTACATCAAGGCCAAGGAGGCATGACTCCGTCCCCCTGCAAGTTGGAAAACGGAGGCACCGGGGTAGCCACTGACCACTGGGGGCGAGGGGCATGGAAGGCAGACAGGCAGTTGGCTACTCCCATGGTTTTTGGAGTCAGACAATCTGAGGTCCCCACTCCGCCACTTCATGGCTCAGAGACCTTGGGCAAGTCACTTTCACTCCCTGGGTACACTGGGAATGAAAATGGGACCCATCTCCCTGGGTGGCTGCGAGGATTAGTGTGTGTGTCTGGGTTCACGCTGGGCATGCTGGTACTGCTCTTGCGAGCCTGGCACCTTTGGCTCAGGCCGGGCCCCCAGGCACCCCTGCAGAGGACACACCGGCCCTGAGTTCCCACCAAGTGCCGCCCAACAGCCCCATGGGCCCTGCCGTAGGGGAGCACCTGCCTGCAGGAACAGCTGCAGGATCCCACCTCCCCGACATCAGCGCCTCGGTGGGTTTTCACCAAACAAACACAATGCAGAACCAGAGAAAGGTGTAAAATAAATAAACACAACAAGCTGTGCGCTCTCAGCATTACAGCTGCACCCGAAGATAAACAACAGGCGAACGTTGCCCAACATCCACACCCGAGAAATTAACTTGACAAAAAGCTCAGCCAGCCCCCGACAACCCCCCA